ACAGGGTCTCTCACTTTTATAAGCTCTGCTCCATTTGCATATTGGAGTTAATTGTCCAGTTACAGATTTAACCCATCAAGCCCCATCCTTGTTTTTCTCTCTCCAGCCCACGGGGTTTGTGCTCCTGGCCTGAGATTTGGCTCATTTGTCCTCATTGGTGCCCAGCTGGAGCAGGAATTGTTTTGTCTCTGTGCACAGAGCTCACCATCCCCTGATGTGAACCCAGAGCCACCCACTAAGGCAGCACAGAGCCTGAAAAATATAAAAACTAAAACCTGAGGCATCACTTCACACAAAGAACAATTCCTGCCCCTCACCCAGCCTTTGCAGAGCTCCTGGCACCCTCAGAGGGTCCCTCAAAGCCCAGCTCACCTGCTGGCCCACAGAGAAGGCCTGGCTGTTGAACTGCTGGATGAACTCTGCAGCCATCTTGTCTGTGTCATAGGGGTTGGAGTCAATGTTCTTCTTCTGCAGGAAGTCAATCTCGATGGTCATGGTGCCAATGCACTGCTTGGTCTTGTCAAAAGTGTATAAGGAAACTGAAAAAAAAAACAAAAACCAGCATATTTAAGGTTCCCCCAGTGTATTAAACAAGTTTGGCAATAAACACTCTTCCCTTGAGAATTTCACTTGGTAAAACTGAATATATTCTTTCTTTATTTTCTCTTAACCCATGTTCAACTGAAAGGTCAAAAATACAATAAAATTGCCACTGAAAAATCACATTTTTCACTGAAAATCCCTGCATTGCTCTAAAAACTCTTAATAAGCCTTTAAAACAGCTCAAACACCACACAGACTTTGGAGGATGAGGACAATGAAAGCAAATCCAGGTGTGCTATGGTCCCACATGGCTGTATCTCCACCCAAGGGTTTGGACACGTCTCCAGAAGCCCAAAAGCAGCTTCAGGGGTTGCCTTGGCCAAAAGCAGCGACAAGAGGCCATCACTGGGTTTCCTTGACAAAATTGCTGAGCTGTTCTCCAGATGAGGCAGCAGAAAGTGAATTGAAGTGCACAGGAGTGCACATTCAAATGCAGCAATGGAATCTGTCAGCCCAAAACAAAGCACATCATCAACTGCCCTTCATCCCTGAGACTGAGGAGAACCCAGAGGTGCCCTTGGGCCCACACTGACATTTCCAGGTTCCCTTCAGTGCTGCAGAACCCCCTGGACAGAAAGCCAAGGGGCAGGGAAGGCACTGCAGTGTCACTGCCACCCTGATCCCACAGGGAAACAAGAGACCTCTCAGGGTGCAAAGAGGATGAAGAGGATGAAGAGGATGGAAAGGAAAGAGCAGCACAAGCCACAGCTCCAGGGACTGCCCAGCATGGTCAGCACCTCACAAACAGGCAGGCCCAGCAATGCAGAAAGATTCTCCACAAGACTGAGGAGCATTGAAGGTTTGCTTTGAATCTGAAGAGCCAAGAGCAGCAAGGATGAAGTAGGAGGGGAATGTGGGAAAGGCTCTTCACTCCATCTGGGATTTCCTGTCCAGCCCCTGGCAGCAGAATGGCTCCAGGACAAACCTGCAGATGCTGAGGTTGATGGCAAAACAATCCCCCAGGATTGTTCACGTGAAGGGAACAAGGAGAGCCTGTCCCTGCTGAGGGGTGACCAGAACACAGCACACACCCCAAACACCCCCCTGGGAGGAGCTGCCACAGCAAACAGGGATAAAGATGAAAACACTGCTCCTGATCTGCTGCACTGAGTTCTCCCAAAAGCAGCAGGGTGATCCCTTTGGGCCTGCAAGCAAACCCAGGAGCTCCTCTCACCTTCCAGGTCACCCCTGAGCAGTTTCCTTTTCCTTGCTGAACCTCATGGCTTTGTCCAATAAAATTTTCTGTACTGAAGTGGAGGGAGAAGACCNACATGCAGTCCCCAAGGAAAGCCCAGGAGTTCTTGGGAGCCCACCTTCTGCTTTTTGCTTGTTCCAGACTCCCCTTTGAGAATGCTGGGGTCCATGGCTTCCATGTCCTTCACCAAGAGCCCAAAGAGCTTGTCATTAAAGCTGAACACCAGCTGTGGAAAGGGAAAACAAATCTCATTAAAAAAAAGCTGAAAAGGATTCTGGCAAGACTAGTAAGATTTGAAAGGAGATCAAATGATCCTGAAGACTGAGTTAACCACCCAGCAGCTCCCCTGGAGTTTTTTCCCTGTAAAGGTCTGGATTCACAGGAAAATCCTGTAAAGCTCTCAGTCTGGAGTGCTGACCATGTCCCAATATCAGAGTAACAGAACACAAAGACAGCTGGAGAAACTCAAAGAAAAATCCTCCTTCCAAGAAAATCATCTATTTCTCCCTCCCCTTCTCCCCAGCTCAGTGTTCTGGATCATCTGATGACATTTCCCTCTCACTTCAATAATTGGTGCTAGTCATGGAGAACAATTTAGCTCAAAACTTTCAGATATTTTCCATTTCAGCTTGACAAGGACACTCCAGGAGCAGTGCTAATGAGAGACAGAATGAATGTGATGATGAGTAGGGTCCATCCCACAGAAAACCAGGCTGGCTCTGCAGCCTTGCCTCCCTTTCCTTGAGTTTGTATTTTCAACTGGTTTAAGATTCAGACCCTGCAAGGTGTAAATTATATGGGAGACAAACCTTGAGCTGTTTTGAGAGCAAGGCAAAGCAGGGATTATCACACAGGGCTGTGCAGGGGCTGAAGGCCACGTTCTGCACACCCCTGCAGGCTCAATTACAGGACATCAACTTTCCAAGGTCCCCAAGAAAAATATTTCATCCCTGTTTCTCTGCTCAAGTCCCCAGAGCAGCAATAAATCATGGAATCCCAGAATAATTCAGGCTGGAAAGGATCCTAAAGCTCATCCAGTGCCACCCCTGCCATAGCAGGGACACCTTCCCCCACCTCAGGCTGCTCCAAGCCCTGTCCAGCCTGGCCTGGGACAATTCCAGAATAATTAAATGCACTGCACTTGGGAGGTGCCACTGAGAATGAATTAAACCTTGTGTTTGTCTTGATCTTATACAGAAGGAGGCAAAAGTGACTTCCTAAAATATTCCAGAAGTTGCCATGCTCACATCCAACACAGAGAGACCCAAACTCTCCCAAACCCTGGGATTTTCCTCACAGATTTAGGATGGATTCTAAACCCCTCTGGCCATGCTCTCAGTGACA